CAGAAATGGAATATAATATTCCTTCTGGTTACCTCTGAAAAACAGCTAATTTTACGCTAACAAAAACACTGATTCTTATATCCAGGTGATTATACACTAATGAAAACATAGCTATGAATGTTATATTCCATTTCTGACAGTAGATCCTCCTGAATGTTACACACTGGACCTTTAATCAAATTAGGTGGATCTCTTCCAGAGCTAGTTATTTTAGTACAGAATTCCTTACTTGTTTTCCCCTGACTGTCATTCCTTGCTGAGCTGTGGTGGAGGGATGGTAACACGAAGAGGGAATTTGCACTAAAAGTGTGTTCTCTGTGATTGATGGTGGTGTTCTTGCGTTGGCAGAGAAACAAGAGAAGGAGGTGGATATTTATGCCGGCCTTTCTGACGAGAAGGCCTTTGTGTTTTCGGTGGCCTTGGCTGAGATCAACCGCAAGATCCTGGGCCAAAGACTCATCTTATAGATGAAAGCCTGAGTGACGAGCATGGAGAACCTATCAAATAGCAAGAGGATGACCAAAGAGGGCGGAACTGGAGCTGAACTCTGACCTGGATCACGTGGATGACGGGGCATAAAGGAAATCCTGGCTCTTCGGCACGTTGCATTATACGGCCACCACACACATGCAAACGTGTTTCTGGACTAAAAGCACGAGTGTGGTTTGTTTATAATGAAATACGTTGTAGCTGATGACATTTCCCAGCTGTTCTGTACATAATACACCTGAGTGTATAAATCCACTCCATACTGTGTTCTCAAGTGCGCCATCAAGTGCACATCCTCAGATGAACAGTTTTCTTAATAACTGAAGATGATTCAAAAACCAATAGTCTAAAATGAAATAAAGTTTTTTGTTTTTATCGCTGTAAAGTGTTCTGTAGGTAATGTTGAGCTCCCTCGTTCGAGCTTTCCTAGAGTCATACAAGAGGTCAGACAAATATTTATGAGATTTTAAACAAGTTTTCTTTTAAAATCCTATTTTATCATTCTGTCCAACTTTTATTGTTAACTGATGTTTGATTGCAGAATCCCATATGTGATTGCATATTGTGATCATGTCACAATATATTATAATTATAACTGCATTTATTCATGTTTATTATTTTTCATAGAGATTTAATGTTTAGTCACAATCCACCCAGAGTATGGCAGACTGTCAGGGCTCAAACATTCTTCTATACAGATTTTATTTTGAAAATCCTGACGTCCTGCTGGTCGCCAGAGGGTTTCTGTGACTTCACAATAATAAAATCAATGAAATGACCTTCTGTTGTTCACCATTCGAATGAATTTAAAAGTTTTCATCAACCACATATATTTACTTGTTGGCAATGAACCCCTACAGGTTGAATATCACCAGTAAACACTGTGTGTGAGAGAGAGAGAGAGAGAGAGAGAGAGAGATATATGTTGGTCAAAGGGTTCTGACTGCCGTGTTTTGTGTGGCTCTAACTCCTGAGCTACTGTAATCTGTAATCTGAGTAAGCTGGGCTCATCTCAAACAGCCTATTGATGAGGTTTATCTGAAGAGATTTAACAGGTTGTAGTGCACAGAGTTCACTGGGCAAGGAGGATATTTCTGAAGAGAGAGATCCACCCATTCCTGTATCATGCTGGTCGACTGATAAAGGTTTTTCAATAGCTGATAATGTCAAAAAAGAAAAGTCATGTATAATTCCATAATTCAGTCTACTTGATTATCTTAGCCAGTAACATGTTTTTAGATGGACTTAATGAAATAGAAAAAATACATTGGTTTATGCTGGGAGACAGTATGTCAGAAGAGCTGCATTATTATTACATAATATGTATTTAGTAATCGTTTTAGATTAGATTTCATTCATTTAGGAGAAAAATGTTAACAAAAGATGATAGTTGTGCACTGTGGTAGCTCGCCTGGTAGAGCTGGTACCCAACACTCTTCTGTCACCGTCAGTTAAAGACAATAAAAAACACAGGTGGTGGTGACTGAGGAAATGTAGGCAAATGTTTACAGCAGGATGCACAAGAGTTACAGTACAGTGGAAAACTACAACAACACCACCTTCACAAAACTCACAAAGGGGAGCACTAACATTATTCCGCAGCAGAGAGTGTAGGCATCAGCCAATGTGATTATGTCAAATAATCAGCCTGATTAATATATATATATCACATACATCTCATACTGTCCAATTCTGTTTGTGACAACTATGATGCTGCTGCAGAAGAATGATCAAATTAAAATCTTAAAATGTCCCAGCTAAGAAGCAGCCTGATGTAACTCCTAAAACAATAATAGACAAAGTATTTTGGCAACACTAGAATTGTGAAGACTGGTACAGTGTTACACAGACAGGGTAGGAAGTGGAACACAGGCAGATGTCCAGTAGCAGCAAACAGGCTGGCCAACAAACACACACATTTTATCAGATGGTTAGATGGGTTTAGAAAAAAAATCTGTAGTCCATAGCCAATCCTTTCAACAGAGTTTACAGGTATACCACACCACCTGGAAGAATGATAAAAGACAAAACTGCACGTCAGCCTAACAGAGACAAAACAGAAACTCTTGAGACTGTGTACTGATGATCCTAATCGTTCCAGGGCCTGTTGCGAAACCAAAAGCCCATTTAAATCCTCTAATTTAAAATAAAAAATATGATTTATTGTTTCAAATTCTAACTTCCTTCATCGATGCTGAAGTTGTGTATGAAACAATCTCTATGTGACAACTGCATCCTTCCCTTATCGATTCTGTCCACCCAATAAAGTTAGATTGATAGATTTGAAGGTTGACCACATACACCCTACTGTCTTACTGTGAGTTTGTTAATGTCACAGTCATTTGTTGTTTTTGTAACAATAGACCCAAATAACTGTCTTTTGATCAGACGTTAAAAACCAAACAAGCACAATTGAGTACTGCCTGTTAAAGGTGTGGTGGTGGTCGGTGGTTAGTACTCTCTGGCTGGGGCCTCTCTGGGTATCGGTTTAGGTTTCCTCCAGGGGATTCAGGTCACCCCACAGTCCACAGACATGCAGGTTTGTTAAATAACAACTCTGCCCATAGGTAGGATGTGAGAATAAAGAGACTGTACTATATGTGACAGACAGGTGACCTGTACAGGTGTCCGCTGCCTCTGTGTAGATGAAGGACTGATGGATGTTCAAGATCCCCTCCAGACAAGTTTTAACATATATTTTGCTCTACCTTCAATAATTTATGTATCTGATATGCTATCTGAAAAGACATCTATTCCTTCTTCATCAAAAATAATTAATTCTCCTACTTCACTGTAAAGTCCATTCTCAGTGGATGTGCACTGGTGGCTTCAAGTTTCTACAATCACACACTGTACAAGTTGATACTGGACCTAAAGATCAGTGTCATTGTAAATGTAATGGTCTAATTGCTGAAATATAGTAAAAATATAGTATAATATATATTATATGTATCATATATACGATATGTGTGTGATATTTTATCTTATCCTGTCAGTCTGGCTGTCTTCATCTTCATTTTCTGTCATTCTGTCATACCTTCCAGTATTAATGCAGCCTATAACATTGTTTCAGTTCCTTGTTGGTTTGATGGTAATACGTATTTTAGGCTTATCCATTTTGCTCTTTATCATTTAGTATAAATAGTATAAATATTAGTATAATTCCAAATTAATATGGGACATCGAATTTTCTTTGTGGTGCCTATAATTCAAAATGTTCTTTAATATAATGTCTGTATTGTAAATAATAATAATAAACTTTATTTATAATAACAGTTCTAATAAAAAATGTTTAAAAGTGCATACAAAGGGAAACATAAAACCAACAAGGCAGTATAGAAATGAAAATAAGAACATGACCAGAAGTAATACA